AAAAAATAAATAAACTTAATGCTGGCCTTTCTTTTTCCTAGTGCCTGCAACTTCTCACCCACACTTTCAACCGAGAATTCAGCCAGGTGCACGGCAGCATCAGTGACTGTAAGGTGAGCCGCTCACATTTCCTGTCCCCAGAGTACGCTGCTTTTAGGTGGCTTGATGTGGGCATAGCATGGTTGCGTGACATACCTGCTCTTGTATCTGATTTTTTCAGAATACCGACTTCTGAAGGTGAAAGTATGTCTCCGTGTCTCTTAGAGTGATTATCAGATGGGGACTATTTTGGCTTTCCCCTGAATCCCTTGGAGAATATTCTGTAGGGGGTGATTTGTCATGTGTGACAGGGAACAAGTCCTGAGGTTCTTGGTGGCATGAGATTTTGTTGCCTTCCACAAAGAGTGAGGTGAACACTTTAAAGAACTTCTGGGTCATTCGCTCTATTCTAGTCATCTTGACCTTTCTGGCTCATTCCTGCCGAGCGGGGTCTTTGCACTCTTGCCATTCCTTTACCCAGAATAGTCTTCTTCCAGATGTTCCCATGATTGGCTCACTGATGTTTCCTTTTCAGTTCAAATTTGTAAACCATGCATTGTAAAGCCAACAATGAAACTTTCTCTTTCCCTGATTCATTTTTTGCTATAGCACTTATCACTCCCTGACATTTCTTTTAATCCTCACCCGAGGATATGTTCTTATTGATTTGAGAGAGAGAGGAAGGGAGAGAGAGAGAAAAACAAAAAAATCGATTGGTCGCTTCCCATACATGCCCTGATCTGGGATTGAACCTGAAACCTAGGTATGTTCCCTGACTGGGAATTTAACCCTCAACCTTTGGTGTACGGGCGACACTCCAGCCACCAGAGCCACCCAGCCAGAGCCTGACACTTCTTGATGTGTGTGTTGACTGGCTTATTGTCTGCCTTCTTCACTTAGAGTGTAAGCTCCAGTAGGCCAGGTCCTCTGCCATATTCTTAGAACTTTGCCTGCTGTGCTAAGTGCTCGGCTCATATGCATACGGTCATTTAATTAATGCGGGAGGGCAGTGACAATATAAAAAGCCAGCCTTGCCTCTTTTGTAAATGCCATGATTCCTAACAGACATGAGGGCCATAAAATATGTATCTGTAAGGCTTGTTTTCTTAAACAACCTGAAGAAGGATATTTTTTAAAGTGAGGTCACTGGTTGCCAGAGCTTCTTATTGCAGAGACAGTTTCTTCCATCTGAATCTCACTCGCTCTGTTCTGTTTGCTTCCAGTTGTCGGATATCTCTCCAATTGGACGGGATCCCTCTGTGTCCAGTTTCAGCAGCTCAACCCTCACTCCCTCCTCGACCTGCCCCTCTCTGGTGGACTCTAGGAGCAACTCTGTGGATCAGAAGTAGGTGCCCAGGTTTCACCGCGAGAAGCTAATCTAAGAATCCGGGGAAAAGGCCAGTCTTCCTCTAGCTCAGTGGTTCTCAGCTGAGGGCAGCACCAGCCCCCTAGGCAGCATCCGGAAATATGGGGAGCCTTCTCTAGATGTCACAGTGTCTGGAAAAATGCTACTGACATCTTTTAATAATCACGTCTTCCTAGCTTCCTGCACCAAACCATTGGCTCCTCTTATTCCCGTCCTTCTCACTTGTCCTTCCACTCCCACCCTGCTTCTCTCCTCAGTCATATCCCACATAGGAAGCCCCATCTTGGGGAAAATATTTTTGATGATACAAAAACATGTACAGGTAAGACTAATGGAGACAACTTTAATGTGAATTCATCAGTACAGTGCACCTCAAAGTCCTTTGCCCTGTCTCCTTCATTACGCTCACCTGTCAGAGCCCACCTCGTTATCATCCAGCTGTCTATCCGAATGTACCAGCACTCGCGCAATTGAACGTGGCTGGAGAAAATAACAAAGAGGCAATCTAATTAATTCTCGGCTGCCATTGACTGTCAGACATTATTTTACATGCCACTAAGAAAGAAAAGGCACTGCCAACTAAAATGTGACACACTACTGATTGTAAGACGCATCCCAATTTGAGGAATGGGAAGGCATTTACAAATGGGCTTTTGTAATTGACGAAGTACAATTAATTAGGCGAGGCTGCTGTCCGAAGATGACTAACACTGCAGAGCAGAGGAATTATTTCTCCCGTACAGCCTGGCCTGGTCCAGGGCGGCGTGCAGCTGTGCACCTTGTGGTCATTCAAAGACAGCCTTCACCCCTTGATCTGCTTTCTCTGCCAGTCCCTCAGGCTGTGGTTCTCAGATGTTAGTGCATCACTGGGGCGGCTCGTTAAAGCCCACGTGGCTGAACCCCGCCCAGAGAGAGTTCCTGGTTCTCTGGGTCTGGGGTGGAGTCTGAGAATTTGAATTTGTAACGGGTTTCCAGGAGCAGCTGACCCTGCTGGTCAGGGTCCTCACTGAGAGCCGCTGTGCTAGGTGTGACCTTGGGACTAAATTGAAACGGGTGGAGTCATGTTCCAGACACTTCTGTTCAGGGCTTCAGAATAGGAGGTGGTCTGAGTGACACAAGCTCATCAGTGACCAGCCTCCTTTGTAACCTCTGAAGGATGAGCCCAGTGGCATTTGGAGTTACCGTTCTGACACCAGCTTGTCCTCCCAGGCGAGCTCTCTGAACCTGATGTCTGCGGGGCCCCTGGTGTACGGAGAGGCCTCGTTCCTGCTGGTGGGGTAGTTGTACACATCTGCATTCCTTACAGAAGCTCTTGCTGTCCCTAACCTCTAACCTCTCTTTTAAAGGACCCCAGAAGCCAATTCCCGGGCCTCTAGTCCCTGCCCAGAATTTGAGCAGTTTCAAATTGTCCCAACTGTGGAAACACCATATTTGGCCCGAGCAGGGAAAAATGAATTTCTCAACCTTGTTCCAGATATTGAAGAAATTAGACCAGGGTGAGTACTATATTACCCAGAGATGCTGGGTATTAAAACAGGTCAGAAGAATGTGCTTCCAGCTCTTCCGTGAGGTCTCTGTTGCAGTGTGATGCGCATGGATCCGGTGAAAGCTCCGGCTGGGTTTCCGCCCCCGCTGTGCCGTCACACACCCACCTGCTCAGCATGCTGTGTGGTGCTTTGTCTCCTCTTGCTGTGTTACTTTGGCAGATAAGGTCCTAGGCCAGGGGTGGGCAACCTTTTTGTGAGTGCGTGCCAAAACCAGCAAAATCTCTGACTCAAAATTCTTCTGCGTGCCAACCCTAATTTTTTGAGAACATGTTACACCTACTTGATATCTCTTAAGGTGTACGTATGTGAAGAACCTTGAAGAAATAATAAAATTCATTTGAGCGACAAAAACACAGTATATGATGATGAAAAATACATTTATTTTTTAATGTATACATGTACACTGATAGCCCGACAGAAAACTTTAGACTCCGTTTGATATTATCAGTGGGACTTTTGCTGCTGCATCACTGATGACAGAGATTTTACATCAGGTTTATATTTCGTGACTTTCAGAGATACGCACGAGCTACTACTTTAATCCGTCGGGCTACTCCTATTACGAGACTTAACAAAATTCATCACTGAGAACAAAGATTCACAAGCGTATGTGGATGAAACCAAAACACTGGTCGGATCTAGGAAGGCAGGGAGAGTTAAGGCAGAGGCATAGAAGTTGCTCTTCCCCTCTCTCGTCAATCCATGTCTATGGTCTTTAAGATAACTTGTTATGTAAAATTATTTATTTATCTAAGATGCACCTACACTGAATTTATCTGAAAAATAAAAAAGTCGATATTAAGAAAAAAATTGTAAATGGAAGATTATAAGAGAGGGTTTTGCGTGCCAGCAAAAGTTACTGGCTTGCCATGTTTGGCACGCGTGCCAGGGGTTGCCCACCCCTGTCCTAGGCCAAATAGATCATTGTCCTGTTTTTTTCCAACGAGGGACTTGGCCTAGGTGAGACATATTTTGATGGTTCTCGGCTCATAATCACTTTCTTTTTGTGAGAAACAAACCTATCTTCTATTGTCCTTTTTAGCTCAGTGGTTTCCAAAAAAGGATACCTGCATTTCAAGGAGCCATTTTCCAGCAACTGGGCTAAGCATTTTGTTGTGGTCCGTCGCCCTTACGTCTTCATCTATAACAGTGACAAAGACCCAGTGGAACGTGGCATCATTAACCTGTCCACAGCGCAGGTGGAATACAGCGAGGACCAGCAGGCCATGGTGAAGGTCAGTCCTGCCCTCTCTCGACTTCTCATTGCCATGCATGCCCTTCCCTTTTGAGTTCTGGATTCTGTTGTGTGATACAGCGTCTCTCCTGTATATCTGGCTCTCTGAAGTGCCAGTGCGAAGTGCCGTATGCCCTGTGAATATGGCCGGTATCCCCATTGCTCATAGCCCTCGTAACTTTCTCATCTACCTGCATCTCTTTCAGAGTCCTAACATCTTCGCTGTATGCACAAAGCACCGTGGGGTCCTTTTGCAGGCTCTCAATGACAAAGACATGAGTGACTGGTTATATGCCTTTAATCCACTCCTTGCTGGCACAATACGGTAAGAAGCTGTCCCTGCGTTCCCTTCCTTGGCTTTCAGTCCCAGGAACATCAGCATAAATAGGGAAGGAAGTCTTGTTGCAAACAGATTTAAAATAGAGGAAGGACAGGGGTGTAAGTGCGGTTGTGGGGTGCTGACGAGGCCTCAGCTTTTCACAAGCTATCACCTGGTGTCCCGAGCAGCTAAGGAGACCCTGGTCACATTTGCATTTAACTGATCTGCTTTGACTTTGTTCTCAAGGGTCTACAGCCAGGGTCTGTGGGGCTGAGCAAAGGGAAGATTGGGAGGCCCTTGCCGGCCTGCCAGTCAGTATTCAGCACTATGACCAGCCTCCCATCCTCTGAGGGGCTATGTTGCAGGTCCCCCAGCAGGAAGACCACCGTGTAGCCTGTTTGTTCAGAGAGCCCGAGACCTGGGTCTGCAGCGCAGTTTAGAAAGAAGTCCAAGGAGGGGCTCATGGGGGAAGAGGCCTGTGAGGGAGAAACATCTGGATCCAGTTTCCTAACGGGCCTCTCTCTCTGTCACCCATAGGTCGAAACTCTCCCTCAGAGGCTCGAGCCAGCCAAAGTACTGAGCGACTGCTGCGCACCCTCACGCGCCTTCCCAGAGATAAAGGAAGTGTTACCTCTCGTTTCTCTTTGTGATTCTTGACGGTTGCTCTTGTATGTAATCCTGTGGCTTAACTACTTTTCCCTCTTGTCCAGCACTTTTTCTAGCTCCTGTTCCCTATCTCCATTGCTCTGTACCCTTTTTCTTTTTTCCTGTGCTGAGAATCTTGTTAGTAGCATGTGGCCTAACAAAAGGGGAAAAACATATACAACAAAACAAAACAAACAAACAAAAAACAGAGAGAGGGAAATCCAGTGACTCTCCAAATTATTTTTGGTATATCTTGGCTTCCTTTTGTATGAGAGCTCCCCCTGTGACCACCTCTGATGTCTGTACTGCTGTCTTTGGCTATCTGTCTTTTTTCAAGACAACATAATACATTTTTTTCTTTTCTCTGTGCTGTCAACTTTAATTTTTCATGGGTGGCTTAGAGACAAAGGGAGGAGACATCTGGCCTTTTTGGAAGCTGAGAGGGAAAAGCTTACCTTTTTCCCTCTGTTGCTTTCTTCCCTCACTAATCCCTGCGTTTCCAGTCAGGGAGAAGGTTGTGGTGAGCTCAGCAATGGGACAGGTATATTCTCTGAAATCGGGCTTGCTTAGAACATGGTCATGCAGTTTTCAGTCAGTGGAAGAGAAGAGAGGAGAGAGCTTTTAACAGGCCTGCGGCAGTGGCCGCTGCTGACTTGTCAAAAGGGAAGAGCCAAGAATGTTGGGTTTCCAAGGAGCATAGGGTGGGTGGATGGGAGGGTCAGTAGGATTCCTGTGAACTGTGCTACTCATCTGAGAGGGAGCCTCCTCTCTGTTCTGTTCTTGGCATTGGTGATGATGGCCCGTTTGCAATCTGTGATGTCATACACAGATGACCCACAAGGGGGAGTGCTTCGCTTTCTGACGAGGAATTTGATGGTCATTGTGGTAATGCTGAGTAATGACCTTGTGAATGTAGCTCCCGTTGATCAAAGAAATGCAGCTTTCACCTGTAAATCTGGAAGTCTCCTCTGAACCCAGTGGTTATTTTCAATGATCTCTGTCAGATTGAAAAGACTTTCAGTGATGCCTGTCCCTATACTCATCAATAAGCAGACATGGCAGACTTTGCTTTCTGGACCCAGGATTAAAACCAGCCACTCCCACCACTAAAAACAAAACGAAAGGACATCTGGGGGCAGAGAAGAGACCCCACCTGAGCCCTGGCCCCAGGGTTTCGTGGCGCACCCGCTGGCCTCACCTTGCTTCTCCATGGGGTGTGGAAGCGGGTGTGGAAGTGTTGCCAGAGAGGGAAGGAGGAAGCTGATAGTCTCCTGACAGGACAGGGTCAGCTCTTCCAGATGCCAGCGTGGAAGATACACTTTCTCTCAGCTGCCGGCAAGGGTTTCAGAGTGACAGGGAGGGGAAAGGGCCCCGGTTCCTTGAGTAGCTTTGCCATTAGTCCGCTTGGGTTGTTTATACCACCGTTTACCTCCCTTGCTCAGACCTCTCTGCTTGACCATCCCGTGGGCATTCAGGACAGTATCTGCTGGTTCCCGCCCTGTGGAGACTGAGGGTCTCAGCCTTGGGGTTGCTGACTCTCAGGTGCTGGGGAACTGGATGGCTTTGCCTTGGCAGCCAAGGGCAGGGGCCGCGCACTCTGTGGGGTAGTTGCTGGGCAGGCTCAGACCTTGCTTCCACCCTCCCCGGTTGGGCTCATCTCAGAACAGGGCTTGCAGCTGCACTCCTTATAATTGCCTTGCAAAGAGGCGGAAGTGAGTCAGGGAGAGTGTAATAAAAGAAAGGACAGAACCACAGGCTGTGCCCTTATCTGAAAAGTGGTCAATAAAACTCTAGATTTTTTTAAACTTTCTTCTCCTTAAAACATAGGTCACTAACAGTAATGTTACTAGTTTTTCTAAGCAACATTTTTAATGTAGAGGTTTCCGTGTTGTTTATTGGACACAATATGCCCTTCTGCTGTATACCCCAATCTAGGATCTGTCCGTGCTTAGAGACAGCTTCCTGGGCCGGAATTAAATCTAATTTCAGGGAAATGACATTGAAGGTTACTTTTAGAATCAAATCATGGATGCTGCTGCTGTTATAAAGTTTGATGGAAGGATCCATGTCTGTGTGGCAATAGGTGGGGAAGGCTGAGGGAGAGTAATTGTGTGATACACTGAAATGACTTTGGTTTCTTCTTCTAACTCAAACACAACTGGCTTGGAAAGTCTTTGCTTTGGAGTGTCAGCTCTTAGACTAGGCGGCACTGGACTGTTCGTCACGTGCCCAAGCAGGAAGGCCTCGTGAGAATGCGGGGTCTCATGTGCTCTCCCCGTCCGAGGGGCTTCTGCTGCGGCTGACAGGTACAGGCAGCCCCTTTTGGTACCCCCTCTTTCTCTAGGGCCCATCTTCAAATTGGAGCTGGAAGTTTCAGGGTTGATGTTCCCTTTCCAGACAGTTTCATCCCCACTTTGAAGTTCTGAGAGAGGGTTTCTGACAGAAACTCTTTATGAGGCTTTAGCTGAAGCCATGGGGCCAAGAAAGTTGAGGAATGAACTTGACCTTTTAAGGAAACCACCTTTTGAGGGTTTTTAATTTCTTTTTTTCCAAATCACTCCTTTAAACAAGCAAAAAAAAAAAAAGCAAGACAGAAAACCCTTACACAAATGAAGGAGACATGAATGCTAGTTAAAAGTAACCCTCTGCTCCCTCAGTCCCCATCCTCCTCTCTCCTGCCAAAGCAAAATACGGCCTCACAGCCCGCACCAAGCCAGGGCCAGGGCACGGGAAGGGCTGCTCTGGCAGCTGGGCGGGTCCTAAATTCCAGCACACTGTTCACTGATGGCAAGGGAAGATGATCTTCCCAACTAGGAAACCACTGTTTTATGTATCTGTTTTCCCTTCAGCTCTGTAGAACTTACACAGACACTCAGAGTTTTGCTGGATATTTTCCAGCTCTTTTAAGATGAAAGAATCAATTAAATCATTGCAAAAGGCCTTTTGGGATCTAAAAGTAAAATGACTTCTCCTGGCACATATTTCAAAGCAAAGACTTTGTTGCCTGCTGCTTGTTCTCTAATTATTTAATTAAATTAAATTCTGTAAGGTATTTGTATATTTATACAGCTGTAATTAATTGCACATTGGACTGAAAAAGAGAGGCTGACCTCGCGTGTGGCACCTGCCGGTACCGGCATCCCTGGTGCTGCCTGCCACTCGGTGCTCCTGGGCAGTGTCAGGGCTTGTTGTTGGTTTGTTTGACTGGGCTCCTGCATCTTTCCTTTTGGGTCCTTTTTTAAAATGTGATTGTTAACCTGCTCCTTAAAGAGAATTCTAACCCTGCTGCTGCTCACAGAAGCTGTGCTGAATGTACTTTAAACAGGACTCTGACTCGGAGGACTGCAGCCGCCCACCCTGGATGACTCAGCCAAGTGTGTGGCCAAACCCTTGCTGTGTGAGATGGGAATGCATTGATTTATGTTTCCTTAGAATCGAATTATCAGCTGAGAGATTATCTGCTTTTGTTGTTCAAAAGGCCATTTATGAAATTCGTATTCGAGCCCCATAAAATCTTGGGAAAGCCGCTAAATCATTTAAAGGAAGAAATTAGAGTTGATACAAATTTCATGTTAAAAACCCACAGCCAAGTAGCTGTACTCAGATGGGAAGTCCGAGCTGAGGTTGGTCTCGCCAAACCTGGCTGTCATGTGTCGTTTCGTGTCTTCGAGTTACTTTCACGCTGCGTGTTCGGGCATCAGTTCGCCTGAGGGCTCCATCAGCCTTCCCACGTGGAAGGCACCATCTTAGACCTTGTGGCTCTAAAGTGTTTGTCCATTGAGATTTCAATTCTCATGTCACCATCCTTGTGCATTAAACAAACCCATGAACATAAGTGGCCTTTTTGAACCAGGACTTTGCAAACTGATCTCTCCCCAGTGAAGGAGTTGAGCACATCAGCAACAATGTATGTACATTATTAATTTCTGATTTTCATTTTCATGTTTTATTATGTAAATATTATCTGATGTTTGGAGCTTGGGTATACAGAATGTAAATATAGTTCCTGTATTTGTACTAATTCTGGTTCTTTTGCTGTATAGCCTTAGATGTGCAATGCAGACATTATCTAACTGTGTATGGTAACCTTGCATCACGGAACTATTAGTGAACGAGGTCATAATAAAGGTACACCCAGTGCACCAGAGGGCTCTCGATGTGCATTTATTGTTCACGCTCTGAGTGGTATTTACACAGAGACTTTTCTTGACTCTCAAAGATACTACTTTTCTAGGACAAAAGTCACGATGCTCTGACCTTCGTGTTCCTTTCTGGGCATTCAGAACAGCGGCCACTGTATAACCAGGGAAGCCGGTGAGGTGCTGTTTCTTTGAAAGTATCTCCCTCTCAGGTATGGCAGTGGCTGATTAGGTAGAAGATGTGTCTCCCCACTCCCTCAGCGCGAAGCCTCTTTATACACGTACCAGTGATTGTGGTATTTGGGAGGGGCGGGGGTTGAAAATTTCAGCATGTCACCTTAGTTTACCAAGTTCCTCTTGTGAGCAGAGCATGAGCAGGGGGACCACTGCCCTGGGTGTTTGGGGAGAAACAAGAAGGGAGGAGCAGCAGCATTCAGGCAAAAAGCCCCGATGCGCGCAGCACCCGTCCGAGAGTCCACCTGCCCGGATGCAGATGTGCCCTCTCCTGTGCCAGTGGGAGGTCACCCCCTACACACACTGGCAAGTGGTAAGTATCACAGAGCAAAATAAAGCTGAATGAAAGATTAGGAGGATGGGAAGGAGGGTCCTTTTAGATCGTGTGGTCAGGGGAGGCCTCTCTTAGGAGAAGACATTGCACTGACTCCAGAATGAAGGAACAGGTAAGCCATGCCGATTCCCGGGCACAGAGGTTTCCAAGCAGCGAAACTAAGCCCTTAGAGCAGCAGTGTTCTCTGCAGGTTCCCAACAGCCAGGAGGCCAGCTTGGAGAGAGCACTGGAGTCCTGACGGCAGAAAGGAGCCAGGGCTCAGGTGGCGTAGGGCCCAGGTAAGTCTCATTCTTTAGAGAAGTAAGAAGCCAATGAAGGAATTTGAGAAAATGAGTCACAAGATCTTGTAGTCACGGGTCGCTTAACGATCGGGATGCAGTCCGAGAAAGGCCACATTAGGCGATTTCACCGTGCGAACATCGCAGCGTGCACTTTCACAACCTCGAAGGGACGGCCCCCAGGCTGCATAGCCGACCACTGTCACATGCGTCCGCATTGGCCTAAATGTCGTGCAGTGTATGACTGCATGTATGTTTTTAAAAGACCATGCTGACTGTAGAGTGGAGAACAGCTCAGGGAGGAGGGGACTGGAGGAGGCTGGGGGACAGTGGGAGAAGGGTAACAACGAGGACATTGTTACCCCAACGCCACAGGGAAGAGGATCGAGTGGACTGAGCAGGAGCAGGCAGTAGAGGCGGGGAGAAGTGGGCGGAGTCAGGATGCCTTTTCATGTTAAAGCGAACAGTTGACTGAGGGCTGCATGTGGAGCCGGAGAGAAAGGAGAAGGGTGACTCCAAGGATGTGTGCCTGAGCAGAGGGACCGTGCGGCGTCTCCTGAGGTGGAGAAGATGGGGAGGAACACTGAAGGGATGGAACGAAATTAAGAATTGGATTCGGGTCAGGTTCACTTTGAGATCAACATTTCCACCCCAATGTGTCGTCGGTGAGGCAAATGGATATACTTGGGTTCAGGGGGCAGAGGCTGGGGCTGGGGACACATGTGGGAGTTGTCAGCATGAAGGTGGCAGGTGCGCAGACCTGGCGAGGGAGGGTAGCTGGTGAGGACCAGGGGTTGTGTCTGAGAGCACTGCAGCTGGCAGAGGTCAGGGAGGGAGACCAGTCCAGCGAAGACGAGTGGCCCATGAAGAGAGGGTGGCACTTGGCCACCCACTTAAGTGTTTGAAGATGGAGGAAGTGATACTGCCCAGTGCAGCCGACAGGTTAAATAAGAGCATTGACCACAGGATTGGAGGGCGAAGGGGTTGAGGGGGGTTCCAGGAAGTTTGAAGGAGCCAGTGAACACCACTTTCCCCCAAATTCAGAGGCAACCGAGAAAAGCATAAGGGAGGTGGGAGATCAAAATACCACCTTTTTCACTGTTAAAGATGTGAGTGGAGCCCTAGCCAATTTGGCTCAGTGGATAGAGCATCGGCCTGCAGACCCAAGGGTCCCGGGTTCGATTCTAGTCAAGTGCATGTACCTGGGTTGCAGGCTCCTCCCCAGCCCCGACCCAAGTGAGTGGCAGAGTCGGGATTTTCAAATCTGCCCCAACTAGTATGTTCCACACCCGCTTAAGTAAGTCAAACAAAGGATTCAGCCCCAGGATGTTTGCAGAGAAGGGCTGTTTTTGTGGAATTCCTGCCCCTGCTTTGAGTTGGGACTTGGGGAGTTAAGGTGAGGCCAAAGGTGGCTAAGGTGAACAGTAATGTGAGTTGACTTCTTAAGCATTCATCTCAGCCAAACATTGGAGGATTTTGTAAAGGCTAAAGGTCAGCCTGCAGCTCTCACTCCAGCAAGCCCTGGCTTTACCGTGTCCGTCTCTGGGTGGGGGCGGGGGCTTGCCTTTGTCCCAGCCCTGCTCTCTGGAGCTCAGGTTGCTATAGTTTCCAACAATCCTGGGAAGCAGTATTTGTTGCCGGTTGTTAGCTCCTTAACAAAGAAAGAAGGCCAAGTGTGGCATGTGACATTAGTAATAGGAGAACAAAAATTCTTGGCTGTTTGATGAGATATGTACACGTCTGCCTTAAAAGAAGCCTATTTAATAGGAACTCGGGTGTGTCCAGATGTTTAGTCACATTGACTCAGCATAACTTCTCCCTTGACAAATCTCAGACTAGAGCAATCAACTTGTTCTGCAACAAAGCTGATGGTAGACTTCCCTTGCAACCCAACCCACAGAGAGAGGAAGTCCTCGCAATAAAGTTGAAAGGTGTGGGAGGCCCTGCTGCTGGAAGGGAGTTATTGTGTGAAGTTGTACCTGTCAAATTTCCACAAGGGCTGCTCCTTCTCCAAAGCTTGTCATTGAGAGTTAATTTCAGTTTAGCTTTCCATGTAAAGCCAACTAAACATCAGTAATGTACGCTGTGTGTGATTGGGCCTGCTGATCGGATTAGGAGAGCTGGGCTGGCCCTTGTAGACCTGGGTTAAAGTTCAGTGCTGCCTCTCACTGGCTGGGAGTGTCAGCTTGCCTGAGCTGCGTTTCCTTGTCACCTTAGGTCATATTAATAATGACACCTCAGAATGATACAGCAATCTGAAGTTTACAAGCGTTAGCTTTTTTTGACGGGAGGAAGGAGGCAGGACGGACCGGAGGTGGAATCGCTGTACTCACGGAGCCTGCAGGCTTAGCCCCTAGAGCAGTGGTTCTCAACCTTCCTAATGCTGCGACCCTTTAATACAGTTCCTCATGTTGTGGTGACCCCCAATTTCATTGTTACAAATTGAACATAATTAAAGCATAGTGATTAATCACAAAAACAATATGTAATTATATATGTGTTTTCCGATGGTCTTAGGCGACCCCTGTGAAAGGGTTGTTCGACCCCCAAAGGGGTCACGATCCACAGGTTGAGAACCGCTGCCCTAGAGAATGGCGGGGGTGTGGCGGTTTCATCCACTTGTCCTTCCAGAAGCTTCTCCTGCATTGTCTGCTTCCGGGCCTCTCACTTGCTACTGGGTTCTGCCCAGTCGGCTTGTGGAAGAGGAATCAATGCCAGAGGAGGCAGCCCCCAGCTCAGAATCTGTGTCAGTGTGCCCCCTGGTCAGTGCCTTCCGAGAAGTCCCAGACCCTGACCACTCACTCCCAGGTGCACTGATGAAGGCCTCATTGCAGACAAAAGGACCGTGCATGGAGGGGAGTGCTGGCTACGGCAGTAGGAAGGGATAGGGGAGGCTCGCTGCAAAAAAGAGGAAGCATAGTCCTAACTGGTGTGGCTCAGTGGATAAAGCATCGACCTGCAGGGTCCTGGGTTCAATTCCGGTCAAGGGTAACCACTCAGGCTTTGCAGGAAGCTGCAGAGGTCCTCGTCCACCTCTCCAGGTTTCACAAGGAAGCCTAGGAGCCATTGTTGGGTTCAATCCTAAGTTCCACTCCAGTTATGTCTCTCCTTTCTGAGTCCTTTCCATGAAAAAGATAGAAACTAGCCCTGCTAGTGTGGCTCAGCGGTTGAATGTTGACCGATGAACCAGGAGGTCAGGGTTCGATTCCCAGTCAGGGCACATGCCCGGATTGCAGGCTCCATCCCCAGTGGGGGCCGAGCAGGAGGCAGCCGATCAATGATTCTCATCATTGATGTTTCTCTCTCTCCCTCTCCCTATCTCTGAAATAAATTTAAAAAGATACAGTTTTAAAGATAGAAATTAGTATATGGGTACTAAGTACCAAACAAATTTCCATTTGTTTCATTGAACCCTAGGGCTCCCCTGTGAGGTTTGTCATTCCTGTTTTACACATGAGGAAACTCTGAGATTCGATAACTTGCCCCAAATTGCACAGCTAGAAAGCAATAAAACGGGAGCCAGAGTCAGTGCAGCAGCAAAACCCATTCCCTTCCCTCTCCATCAGGCAGCTTCCAGGGAAGACGTTCCAGATCATTTGTGAAGCCACCTGATCCGGCTTCGATAACGAGCTGTCCTAGCACTGAGGCTGTCTGAAGCCCGAGTTTCATTGAGAGGGACTTTGGACCGCATCTAATCCGTCCCCGAGGGGCGGTTCCGGTGTCTCACTCTGTGACTCAGCAAGCCTGGGCCCTCAGAGCCCGTCTCCTCAGCCCTGAACTCTGAGAGCTGGACTGGATCAGTGGTTCTCAATCGGTGGGTCTCAGGACCCTGTACACTCTTAAAAATGGTTGCAGACCCAAAGAGCTTTTGCTTATGTAAGTTATACCTATCAATATTTAGCATTGAAAAAATTAAAGCTGAAAAACTTTTGAATAACACTTTTCCAAAACAAAAGGAAATTCAGTGAGATCTGTGGTATTTTTGACAATTTTGCAAATCTAATGAATGTCTGGCTTATGCAGCTTAAGTAGGCTGGGCTCTCACATCTGCCTCCACATTTATTCTCTCCCGTATCATGTCATGGAGCCTCTGGGAAACACTGTACACTTGTGAGGGAATGGGGATGAAAAAGGCAAATATGAATGAAAACTGGCAATAA